CGTTAGGACTATTTGTTTGAACCAAATTTTAAAATATGAACTCTTTTTATTTTAATGAACAATCACAAAAAATAAAAATTTGAAAACGCAACCTCAGAAGTATTTTTTTAGCCCAATTAACATAGGTCGTTCATTTTGATAAGATGCTTAGATCTAGGCCTTAGAAGGATTTTTTCTTTTCCAAATTTTTTAGATGACTTTATTATCAGAAAAAATGATTTTGAGTTTGTAAAGGCTAAGATCTTGAAATTCACCAAATGAATGGTCTAGATTCATTATTGGAAGGGGACTCCTTTTAACCATATCTAGGGTTCAAATATTACTTTTTCTTTTTTGAGATTGATTGTTGAGATGAAGAGAATGTGTGTGCAAAATTTTGAGTCATACAAATACCAAAATATGGTTTTCTAGAAGTGTGGTTGCATTATATTATGATACAACCGTTGTATTATATCATTGATATATATATGAGATAGTGATTTCATGCAACATTTGTACAGTAATATAATGCAACAATCTTCAAAAATTGTGTTAGGGCCATTTGTTTGATTTGCAATTTAAAATATATAGTTTTTTCATTCTAATGAACAATAAAAAAAAAGAAAATTTTGAAAATACAACTTAGAAAGTAATTTTTAGCCCAATTAACATGGGCCTTCCATTTTGATCAGATGCTTAGATCTAGGTCGTAGAAGGACTTTTTCTTTTCCAATTTCTTTAAATGGCTTTTTCATCATTAGATGAAAAATATTAAAAAAAGGAAAAAAAAAAATTTTGAGTTGGTAAAGGCTAAGATCTTGAAATTCACCAAATAAATGGCCTATATTTATTGTTGGAGGGGTCTCATTTTGAACACATCTAAGGGTTTAAATTGGACCCTTTTTTTTTTTTTTGGAGATTGATAATTGAGAGGAAGAGAGTGTGTATGCAAAATTTTTGGTCATACAAATACTACAAACATAGTTTTCTAAAATTGTCGTCGCAATATACTATGACATAAACGTTGTATTAGATCACTGCCTATATATATATATATATATATATATATAATTCTAACTTCCCTAACCTCACATACGACGTACTCTACTAC